AGAGAGCTTTTTTTTAAAAAAAAAAAAATCTAATCTATCTGTTTATTTTTGAATGAATTGTATTCTACAAATGGGTGGTGTTATATGTCATCAAGTATTTTTGTTTAAAGTTTAACAATAATTTTATCTTATTTTTGTTTTAACTTTCAAAAAAAATAAAATAAAAAATAATGTGATAATTTTATTACTTTTACATTTTATTTTGACAGAGCTTTCTCCCGGTGGATTCACTTAGACATTGCAGAAACCCAAGGTGTCCGTGATCAGCCTACAGATCTTGTGCCTCGACCGTATTGTAAATCTAAATGTCCGGCAAGCTGCCATTGCTTTGTCGCAACAACATGACATGGCCATAAAGAAGTGTCTGAATGAAGAACCAGATCTGAGCTCAACTTACTCCTAGACCTTTTAATTGCAAGTTAATACCATCTAAAGGCCAAAGATAGCAAGCTGACTTTGTGGAAAACTGCATTGTAAACCTTCCCTGAGACAAGTGGCATGACTAGTCCACCCGTAATCCTTCACTATAATTGACACACCTAGTCCATCGGTAATCATCACTGAGATAAGTGGCAAGTCTAGTCCACCCGTAATCCTTCACTATAATTGACACATCTAGTCCATCGGTAATCATCACTGAGATAAGTGGCATGACTAGTCCAGACGCAAACCTTTACTGAGATAACTCACATGTCTAGTCCACCCGTAAACCTTCACTGAGATAAGTGACATGTCTAGTCCACCCGTAAACAGTATGCGGTCTACGTTTTTTAACAACTGCAATATAATAACTGACAGGCGATAGCTGTGCAATATTCTCTTCACTGTTTCACCAAAAAATAGGATACGACACAACTCACGATGAAGTTTGATGAGATCCTAGTTCACATCGGAGAGTTTGGCTGGTACCAAAGACGCGTGTATTTTCTCCTGTGTCTACCTGCCCTGCTGTGTGGTCTACAGCTGCTGAGTCCAGTGTTTATAATGGCGACACCTCCACACAGGTCAGTTGTATAAAACTATGTGCGACATGTGATTTTCAGACATAAGATTTTCAGTAGAGATTGTAAGTGATTAGTCATGAAGCGATAGTGAAATCAATGATATTTTGTAAAAGGTTCTCTGATACATCAATAAGAAATTCACTCTTTAATTTAAAAATAAATGCTTATAATTAGACTACAATGTAAAATTTAGACGAACTCGCAGTTGGACAAAAATCTCAAAACTGGACAACAATCTCAAAGTTAGACAACAATCTCACAGTTAGACAACAATCTCATAGTTATAGACAGCAATCTCACAGCAAGAAAACATTCTCAAAGTCTGACAACATTCTCAGAAACCTTACTTCAGGAACGCCAACAAATTTCCACATCCACTCAATATTCTATTTCTCTGTCTCAATGTTCTGATGAAAAGACATGAGGGGCCCAAAACATCTCGTCATAAATCTGGGATCAATTCACTACACTAAGCGGCAAACGTACAGTCATAAATAAATGCTCACTTGATCAATCAGTAAAGTCATTGCTATGTTTTTACTTTTATTATTTTTTGTTTGTTGACTGTGCAAGTTATTTCATTGGTAGTTTAAAAAATGTTAATACTTTCCCACTTATTCGATTGGTACATATGAATATAAAAACTATCCTAGTTATTTCATTGGTCGATAATAATAAACATACTTTCCTAACTGTTTGATTGGTGGGTATAAACTCTAAACCAGAGTAAATACGTGAAACGTAGAGCTCTGCAAAATGAAACAATAACTGTTACACAAAATGTAAAAAAATTAAAAATAAAACTGAAAAAAAAACCAAAAACACAAAAAAATTCTATAAAATGCCGGTACGCCATAAAATTGAATGAAACTGCACAAGAGCTCTCACCACCAATGTAAGTGACAAGGCGTGAGCAGTGATTATTTCAGATTTTTTCCCTCGTTTGGTTGGGGGGGGGGGAGGCATTTCAGATTTTTCGGGGGGGGGGGGGGGGGGGCCAGCGGGGCCGGTTAATTTTTTGTTAGGAGTCCCCCCCCCCCCNTGTAAGATCTATAGACTCATCTCGCGCATCTGTTTCAATGTTTAGGTGTCGCCTCCCAGACTACCCCAACGACACACACGAGGCCTGTTTTTGTTTCCATGTTTAGGTGTCGCCTCCCAGACTACCCCAACGACACATACGAGGTCTGTTTCTGTTTCCATGTTTAGGTGTCGCCTCCCAGACTACTCCAACGACACATACGAGGTCTGTTTCTGTTTCCATGTTTAGGTGTCGCCTCCCAGACTACCCCAACGACACATACGAGGTCTGTTTCTGTTTCAATGTTTAGGTGTCGCCTCCCAGACTACCCCAACGACACATACGAGGTCTGTTTCTGTTTCCATGTTTAGGTGTCACCTCCCAGACTACCCCAACGACACATACGAGGTCCACAGTGAACACCACCGCTACCTCATCAACCAATCGATTCCTACCGGAAGTACGGGCTACGGTTCCTACTCGGAGTGTCACGTGTTCGATGACGTCAACGCCACGTCGCACACTAGCGGCTGGGACAACGGGACGTCCCAGAGGGCAACACGCCACTGCTCCAAGTGGGTGTTTGACAAGAGCGAGTTCGACTACACTGCCATAGAAGAGGTAACACTGGTCTTGGGGCAGATGAAATTGGTCTTGTACCAGATGACAGTTGTCTTGTAGCAGATAATATTTGTTGTAGCAGATGATATTTGTTGTAGCAAATGATATTTGTCTTGTAACAGATGAAAGTTGTCTTGCCACAGATGATATGAGTCTTGTAGCAGATATTATTTTTCTTGTGGCAGATGACAGTTGTCTTGTAGCAGATGAAATTTGTTTTGGTCCATTACATGATTTTGTGATAAAAACTTACATTTACATATTCTTAAATTATGATACGTTAATTTGGTTCTTTATGTAAAAGTGTTGAAACTCTGATATGCCTTCATAAGAATGTTGACTAAAGTAGGTCTAAGTCCCAATGGCAGGGTTAGTGTGTCCTAATCCTACCGACAGTGTCAGTGTGCCCTCCTCCTGCTGACAGGTTCAGTGTGCCCTTATCCTACTGACAGGCTCAGTGTGTCCATCGTGTCATATGCTAAGACGCAATCAGAACTTAAGTTCTACTATTTCAGTTTTCCATCGTTTGTGAAGACACCATCCTAAGATCCCACAGCAACATGGTACAGTTCGCTGGCGCCTTGTGTGGTTGTATCTTCATGGGACTTATAGCTGACTGGTGGGTAGTAGCTCATACACGATTAAGAGTGCTTGCTAAAGGAGCATTCATTGCATTTAAATTTTAATCTTATAATGGCAATTTTTGCAATCTGAGATGACAATCTCCCATAAATGTGTAGTTGGCAGGCATGGTGAAACGTCGAGTTACGTTAGTAAGGTATTCTCGATGAATGCAGTTCTATATGCGCACATGTTGTCTATTCAAGTGTTGGCAGAAAGAAGGCCATCATGCTGGCACTCGTCATGCAGTTTGCCACTTCCCTGGGCATTTACCTGGCACCCAACTACACGGCAACAGTTGGCATCAGGTGGTTTACTGGCATCTCAGCGCAGAGTCTGTTTGCCGTTAGTGCATCCACAGGTGGGTAACGTGTACGGTGTCAGAAGTCAGAGTGTTAAAAATTTTTTTTATTTTAGGTTGTCAGTCTCACAGCATCAACATATTGAGTTGTCAGTTAGTAAGTATTAGTAGTTTAATTAAAGGATAAGAGTTGTGCCAGTTGAAACCAGACAAATTTTAACCTTAAATCTACATAAAATGGTAAAAAAAAAGATAAAAATATACCTGCCCCAAGTAAAATGACAATGCAAGTAGCTTTAGTTCCATTTAGGATTACAATGTTCACAGATCCTTAGTGTGTCGACTTTCAACTTGATTATAACTCCAATGAGATCGGCACCATTTTATTCTTTTAATTAGTGTTCTTTGGAGGTTTTGTGTGGTCTTGGAAAAATGTGCAGCTGTTTATGAAGCTGACACCATACACTATGATTTCATGCGGCTAACATCAGATAGAATGATAGAATGTGGCTGTTAAAGGCATCTCGTTTACTTTCATTCATCTTTTCCGGTGAATGAACTTAAGCTGACCCCAAGTTAGGGTGTGGCTGATTTAAAAATAGCAACCCTTGACCTCGATTACAGCTATCTAAAATCTATGGTCTGTATTATTATTAGAATTCTGTAGAAATTTTGAGAAAGGAATACAATGAGTAAGTCCGTTCGAGAAGTATCTATGAAACAGTTTATATAAACGCCTAGAGAGGTTGAGAGGAAGATCAGCCGAGAGATAATTTGAGCGTATGCTATTTTTGCTCCAGCTCTAGACGTTTGCTACGAGACAGGGATTTGTTTACTGTGTGTGTGTAGATTCCTTTTCATCATTGTACCTTTTTTACAACATTGTATCTTCTTCAACATTATTCTGGTACAATCCAATCATTATTCTTTAAGTCAATAGCTTTAATTATATTTCTTTTGATTTTATAATTTATAATTAACAGAATGAAATGTATTCATTGTAATTAGTCCTGGTTTGAGAATCGTATTTCTTGGTTATTGTATTTAACATATTGTATCGCCTTTTGTTGAAAATCCTCCCGTTGAAAGAGTATTAATAAAATAATATAGATTCTCCATATTCTTGACGAGTAGTAGTATGATCTTAATCTTCATGTCTACTTTAGGCCTAATCTGAATGTCTACTTTAGAAATAATCCAGGGATGGACTGGGCCACCGGGACACCGGGAAGATTCCCGATGGGCCGCTAGGACCGGTGATATAATACAAATAAAAGTCATGAAGATAGGGCCGTTTTTTGTTTTTTCCCGGGCCGCTTGAACTCCCCAGTCCACCCCTGGTCTAATCTGAATGTCATCTTTAGGCCTAATCTGAATGTCTACTTTAGGACTAATCAGAATGTCTTCTTTAGGTCTAATCTGAATGTTCATATTCTTTGCAGGTATCGAGCTGGTCGGCCCCACCAAGCGGACGTTCACTGGTATCGTGGTGGAGATGTACTGGTGCGCTGGGATCTTCTTGTTGCTGCCCATCGCTTACTTCATACGGGACTGGCGCAACATCCAGCTCGTCTTGTGCCTGTGCACCATTCCTATGTTCTCTTTGTGGTGGTAAGGATTCTTTCAGTCTTGTGCCTGTGCACCATTGCTATGTTCTCTCTGTGGTTGTAAGGATTCTTGCAATCACTTAACAGTTTGAATTTCATGTACGCAACCACGACACCATTAAAAAAAGTAATTCAGATTAGTGATTTAAACTATCCCGTCAATTCATGATGTTCGTCTCACAGGAGCAAACATTTTTAAACTTTAACCCCTCTTACTTTGTCGGATTAGGCTAATTTGAGAGATTTAAGACAATGAAGACTACTTAGCTGTTCCCTATTTTATATCAGCTAATGATTCAAAGGTATTTTTATTGCAGTGAATCCCTTTAATCCAAGGTAGCTCTAAATAGTTTTCATAATTCCTTTCATTAATTAAAACAAAAGTTTTTACTGATAGCAACTCATAAAAATTCCTTTTTCCATTAAACATGAAGCTGATTCCCCTAGAAGCCTAACCACGACTCAAAAATTATGCTGAAATCAAATTAAAATACAGCGTGTCTGTTAGCGTTTCTCTTTGATTTCTGGAGAGAAAAAAAAAATTGTTGCTTAAGACTATAGTTTAGTTTTCCCTTCTGATGTTTTTAGGCTGATTCCCGAATCTCCCAGATGGTTGCTAGACAAGCGGCGCTACTCTGAGGCCGAGAACGTCTTGCAGAAGATCTGCGCGTCCAACAAGACGAAGCTTCCGGTCGGCGCGGTGGACGCCAAAACGGCCGACGAAGGCCCGCAGGCCAAGATCTGGAATATGTTCACACACCGCGTGCTCTTCATCAGGACGTTCATCATCTTCTTTAATTGGTCAGTTTTAAAATAAATCAACTCCAAGTGTTTAGGCTCTTCCATGAATGCGTCTATCAATTTCAATGACAGCAGCACTGACTTTAATTAATTAATCAGTGACAATCATGTCAATGGGCTGAACCAAGAATGGCATTAGGATGAATGAAAATATCACAAATGGAATTCATACGTTGATCGGAATATTGAAATTAAATTGCAGGACGACGTCATAACCCTATTGAGGGTAACGACCATTTTTGTTCACGAAAAGCTGGTGTGGTAGCGGGTCCATTAAGATCGTCCTCTGTGGTAGCGGGTCCATTAAGATCGTCCTCTGTGGTAGCGGGTACATTAAGATCGTCCTCTGTGGTAGCGGGTACATTAAGATCGTCCTCTGTGGTATTGGGTACATTAAGATCGTCCTCTGTGGTATTGGGTACATTAAGATCGTCCTCTGTGGTATTGGGTCCATTAAGATCGTCCTCTGTGGCATTGGGTACATTATGATTGTCATCTGTGGTATTGGGTCCATTAAGATTGTACTCTGTGTTTTTGGGTCCATTAAGATCGTCCTCTGTGGTATTGGGTCCATTAAGATCGTCCTCTGTGGTAGCGGGTACATTAAGATCGTCGTCTGTGGTAGCGGGTCCATTAAGATCGTCCTCTGTGGTAGCGGGTCCATTAAGATCGTCCTCTGTGATAGCGGATCCATTAAGATCGTCATCTGTGGTAGCGGGTACATTAAGATCGTCCTCTGTGGTGCGGGTCCATTAAGATCGTCCTCTGTGGTAGCGGGTACATTAAGATCGTCCTCTGTGGTAGCGGGTACATTAAGATCGCCCTCTGTGGTAGCGGGTACATTAAGATCGTCCTCTGTGGTAGCGGGTCCATTAAGATCGTCCTCTGTGGTAGCGGGTACATTAAGATCGTTCTCTGTGGTAGCGGGTACATTAAGATCGTCCTCTGTGGTAGCGGGTATATTAAGATCGTCCTCTGTGGTAGCGGGTCCATTAAGATCGTCCTCTGTGGTAGCGGGTACATTAAGATCGTCCTCTGTGGTAGCGGGTACATTAAGATCGTCCTCTGTGGTAGCGGGTCCATTAAGATCGTCCTCTGTGATAGCGGGTACATTAAGATCGTCCTCTGTGGTAGCGGGTACATTAAGATCGTCCTCTGTGGTAGCGGGTCCATTAAGATCGTCCTCTGTGGTAGCGGGTACATTAAGATCGTCCTCTGTGGTATTGGGACCATGAAGATCGTCCTCTGTTGTAGCGTGTCCATTAAGATCGTCATCTGTGGTAGCGGGTACATTAAGATCGTCCTCTGTGGTAGCGGGTCCATTAAGATCGTCCTCTGTGGTAGCGGGTACATTAAGATCGTCCTCTGTGGTAGCGGGTACATTAAGATCGTCCTCTGTGGTAGCGGGTACATTAAGATCGTCCTCTGTGGTAGCGGGTACATTAAGATCGTCCTCTGTGGTAGCGGGTACATTAAGATCGTCCTCTGTGGTAGCGGGTACATTAAGATCGTCCTCTGTGGTAGCGGGTACATTAAGATCGTCCTCTGTGGTAGCGGGTACATTAAGATCGTCCTCTGTGGTAGCGGGTACATTAAGATCGTCCTCTGTGGTAGCGGGTACATTAAGATCGTCCTCTGTGGTAGCGGGTACATTAAGATCGTCCTCTGTGGTAGCGGGTACATTAAGATCGTCCTCTGTGGTAGCGGGTACATTAAGATCGTCCTCTGTGGTAGCGGGTACATTAAGATCGTCCTCTGTGGTAGCGGGTACATTAAGATCGTCCTCTGTGGTAGCGGGTACATTAAGATCGTCCTCTGTGGTAGCGGGTACATTAAGATCGTCCTCTGTGGTAGCGGGTACATTAAGATCGTCCTCTGTGGTAGCGGGTACATTAAGATCGTCCTCTGTGGTAGCGGGTACATTAAGATCGTCCTCTGTGGTAGCGGGTACATTAAGATCGTCCTCTGTGGTAGCGGGTACATTAAGATCGTCCTCTGTGGTAGCGGGTACATTAAGATCGTCCTCTGTGGTAGCGGGTACATTAAGATCGTCCTCTGTGGTAGCGGGTACATTAAGATCGTCCTCTGTGGTAGCGGGTACATTAAGATCGTCCTCTGTGGTAGCGGGTACATTAAGATCGTCCTCTGTGGTAGCGGGTACATTAAGATCGTCCTCTGTGGTAGCGGGTACATTAAGATCGTCCTCTGTGGTAGCGGGTCCATTAAGATCGTCCTCTGTGGTAGCGGGTCCATTAAGATCGTCCTCTGTGGTAGCGGGTCCATTAAGATCGTCCTCTGTGGTAGCGGGTCCATTAAAATTGTCATCTGTGGTAGCGGGTCCATTAAAATTGTCATCTGTGGTAGCGGGTACATTAAGATTGTCATCTGTGGTAGCGGGTCCATTAAGATTGTCATCTGCGGTATTGGGTACATTAAGATCGTCCTCTGCGGTATTGGGTACATTAAGATCGTCCTCTGTGGTATTGGGTCCATTAAGATCGTCCTCTGTGGTATTGGGTACATTAAGATCGTCCTCTGTGGTATTGGGTACATTAAGATCGTCCTCTGTGGTATTGGGTACATTAAGATCGTCCTCTGTGGTATTGGGTACATTAAGATCGTCCTCTGTGGTATTGGGTCCATTAAGATCGTCCTCTGTGGTATTGGGTACATTAAGATCGTCCTCTGTGGTATTGGGTACATTAAGATCGTCCTCTGTGGTATTGGGTACATTAAGATCGTCCTCTGTGGTATTGGGTACATTAAGATCGTCCTCTGTGGTATTGGGTCCATTAAGATCGTCCTCTGTGGTATTGGGTACATTAAGATCGTCCTCTGTGGTATTCCCATGTAATTCTAGCAGGAGACACCATGCGGGTACATTAAGATCGTCCTCTGTGGTAGCGGGTCCATTAAGATCGTCCTCTGTGGTAGCGGGTCCATTAAGATCGTCCTCTGTGGTAGCGTGTACATTAAGATCGTCCTCTGTGGTAGCGGGTCCATTAAGATCGTCCTCTGTGATAGCCGGTCCATTAAGATCGTCATCTGTGGTAGCGGGTCCATTAAGATCGTCCTCTGTGGTAGCGGGTCCATTAAGATCGTCCTCTGTGGTAGCGGGTACATTAAGATCGTCCTCTGTGGTAGCGGGTCCATTAAGATCGTCCTCTGTGGTAGCGGGTACATTAAGATCGTCCTCTGTGGTAGCGGGTCCATTAAGATCGTCCTCTGTGGTAGCGGGTCCATTAAGATCGTCATCTGTGGTAGCGGGTCCATTAAGATCGTCCTCTGTGGTAGCGGGTCCATTAAGATCGTCGTCTGTGGTAGCGGGTCCATTAAGATCGTCCTCTGTGGTAGCGGGTTCATTAAGATCGTCCTCTGTGGTAGCGGGTACATTAAGATCGTCCTCTGTGGTAGCGGGTACATTAAGATCGTCCTCTGTGGTAGCGGGTACATTAAGATCGTCCTCTGTGGTAGCGGGTACATTAAGATCGTCCTCTGTGGTAGCGGGTACATTAAGATCGTCCTCTGTGGTAGCGGGTACATTAAGATCGTCCTCTGTGGTAGCGGGTACATTAAGATCGTCCTCTGTGGTAGCGGGTACATTAAGATCGTCCTCTGTGGTAGCGGGTACATTAAGATCGTCCTCTGTGGTAGCGGGTACATTAAGATCGTCCTCTGTGGTAGCGGGTACATTAAGATCGTCCTCTGTGGTAGCGGGTACATTAAGATCGTCCTCTGTGGTAGCGGGTACATTAAGATCGTCCTCTGTGGTAGCGGGTACATTAAGATCGTCCTCTGTGGTAGCGGGTACATTAAGATCGTCCTCTGTGGTAGCGGGTACATTAAGATCGTCCTCTGTGGTAGCGGGTACATTAAGATCGTCCTCTGTGGTAGCGGGTACATTAAGATCGTCCTCTGTGGTAGCGGGTACATTAAGATCGTCCTCTGTGGTAGCGGGTACATTAAGATCGTCCTCTGTGGTAGCGGGTACATTAAGATCGTCCTCTGTGGTAGCGGGTACATTAAGATCGTCCTCTGTGGTATTGGGTACATTAAGATCGTCCTCTGTGGTATTGGGTACATTAAGATCGTCCTCTGTGGTATTGGGTACATTAAGATCGTCCTCTGTGGTATTGGGTCCATTAAGATCGTCCTCTGTGGCATTGGGTACATTAAGATTGTCATCTGTGGTATTGGGTCCATTAAGATCGTCCTCTGTGGCATTGGGTACATTATGATTGTCATCTGTGGTATTGGGTCCATTAAGATTGTACTCTGTGTTTTTGGGTCCATTAAGATCGTCCTCTGTGGTATTGGGTACATTAAGATTGGCATCTGTGGTATTGGGTCCATTAAGATCGTCCTCTGTGGTATTGGGTACATTAAGATCGTCATCTGTGGTTGTGGGGAGATTGAGATTATAATCTGTGGTAGCGGGGATATTTCTCAAGTATTTCTAATGGTGTATTGTGCAATTCAAATATGCATCAAACCATTTCCAATATCAACCACCACACATAGTCCTTACCCACGCCGACTCCTAGACTTACGTCACGAATATCGGCTTTTTACATTTGGCTGGTTGATGAAGATTGCCGGTATATCTCTCTTGTAGTCCTCTTTTAAAAAATAAAAATAAAATTTCAGGTTGGCTGTGAACCTACTGTATTACGGCCTCAGCTTGAACATTGACAACCTGGCAGGTTCCACCTACCTCAACTACCTAATCCTCACGATGGTGGAGTTCGTCGCCTACATCATGTGTCTGCTGCTGCTGGACAGGACAGGGAGGAAACGGCTGTACTGTGTTTGTATGTTCACTGGAGCCACGGCCTGTTTGGCCGTCATCTTACCGATATCACTTGGTGACGAAAGTAAGTCACGGTTTTTGAGCTGGCTAAATTTATTATTATTTGTTATGTGTGTTAGCAAAAAGCAAATAATTGTTAATTTAATATACCAAAACCAAAAGATAACATTTAAAACTAGGAAAGAAAATTCAATAGCCTCCCAGGGCCGGCGCTAGGAGGGTGCGGGGCCTTGGGCAAATTGAATTTTATGGGGCCGTTGACGTTATATATTCCGCGGATAGGATGTTAAGACACGTTATAGTCGTAATGGGACGCGTCATAAAGGATATTTGTTCACTCGCTTAGTTTCCGAAATTTCTATTTTTTCCTATAACAGTTAATGGCCCTGGCCCAAATTACTCTTCGCGGCTCCATTGTTACCAATATGAAGGTTGTAAAAAGCGAATAGCAAAACACGAAACTGAATGAGCCATTTTAATCTGGACACAAGCAAAACAAGCGAGACTGACCTTCAGACCATTTGACTATCTAATAACTCCGAATATTGTGTTGACTGGATTAGGAACTATTAGTAGGATTAGGTATATTATAAACATGCTAAGGCAACGCGCGGGGCCCACTCCGCCATCCCCTCGCGCCGGCCCCGAGGCTCCCATATTATGTTTATTCTATTTTGTTGTATATTTTTGTACACCTAAATTAACACAGATTTTATAGTAAATATTGATTTAATTTTTATCCGTTATTTTAAGGATATATTTAATGTTACTTTAAAATAAATGGAGCTCCATGTTGATACGTTTTTAAAAGCTTTTAATGATGGACAGAATACGTTATATTAGCTGTCGTAAAGTAGGCACTGGAGAGGTTAACCATCACAAAGTAGGCATAGGAGAGTTCAGCAGTCATAAAGTAGACAAGGAGGATTCAGATGTCATAAATTAGGCATAGAAGAGGTCATCAACTAAGATAATATTACAAAATACTAATTTATACCACGTGAAAAATAGAGATACAAAAGGCGTAATCTAGCTCGAAACATCTTACCCTGTTCAAATGAGATATACTCTTTCCTTTCCAGTAGTCCTTATAGTATTTCAAGCCTTTTATAAAACACATTCAAGCCTTTTATAAAACACATCCAAGCCTTTTATAAAACACATCCAAGCCTTATATAAAACACATCCAAGCCTTTTATAAAAGACATCCAAGCCTTATATAAAACACATCCAAGCCTTTTATAAGACACATCCAAGCCTTTTATAACACACATCAAGACAGTTTGATGCCTAATTTCCACCAGGTCACCTTTGGATAGCGACTGTCCTCGCCATGGTCGGTAAGCTTTGTGCCTCCGGCTGTTACGCCATTCTGTACATCATGTCTGCAGAGCTGTTTCCGACGGTCATGAGGAACTCTGGGATCGGCTGCTGCTCCATATTTGAAAATCTCGGAGGGATGGTCTCCCCTTACATCGCTGACATGGTAAGGGATTCTTTTTTTAAGGGCAGACAATCATAAATACACCTTCATCAACTCAATGTGAAATCAAAATATCCTGCATCTGATGGTTAGTTATGATTAACAGAACTGCATGCTACTGAAGACAAATGAACACAATAAAACATTTATCGTTGCCATTTTGCTTTTTTCAAGATTTGCGACGAGCAGTCATTTCCTTTTATGTTCCAGGGTTTGATGATTGGCGGCGCCTTCGCTCAGGGCCTCCCCATGATGGTGTTCGGTGCCGTCAGCATACTGGCTGGGGCTCTTTCCATCGCACTTCCGGAAACGTTGCACAGAACTCTCCCCGAGACGATACAAGACGCCATCGACTTTGACAAGTAGGTTGTGGAGTAGGTTGTGGGAGTAGGTTGTGGTGTAGGTTGTGGAGTAGGTTGTGGGAGTAGGTTGTGGAGGAGTTTGTGGAGTAGGTCATGGAGTAGGTTGTGGAGTAGGTTGTGGAGTAGGTTTTAGATTAGGTTGTGGATAGGTTGTGGAGTAGGTTGTGGCGTAGGTTGTAGAGTAAGTTGTGGAATAGGTTGTGGAGTAGGTTGTGGAGGAGGTTATGGAGTAGGTTGTGGAGTAGGTTGTGGAGTAGGTTGTGGAATAGGTTGTGGCGTAGGTTGTGGAGTAGGTTGTAGAATTGTATGACAGGCCCGCGGACTGACTGATGACGTATGCTGAGCCAGCGCGTTTTTTGTTGTTTAAAAACTTAGATGAACTCTCTACTATTTAATTTATTCCACAATCTCAAACTCTAAGGTCCATCTTTGATCACTTCAAGGTTTATAAATCAGATTTGCTGTAGCAGAGCTGAGAAATCTACACCATTTTGGTTTCATGTAGTTAACCTAATCGTTTATTTGCATAGTGTAACAGATTCTTCCTGAATCAATCTTTAAAATGGTTTGCAATGTTACACAGATAATATTTTACTTATAGCAACTTGATTTACAAAAAAATAATATTTTCCCATTTTTAAAGTTAACCATTTCATACGTGTCCTATCTGCTGCGGAATGCTCTTAGCCTATAGGTTCTTATCTTATTGTCCTACCTATGGATTCAAGCTTCCACACACCTTGTACTATTTCTTTCACTCGGCTTGAACGCATTCCTTCATTTATTATTCATATTTATAATAGCATATGAAAATGATTCAATCTTGTATTTAAAATGCACCTTCTATCCGTATTTCGCAATCTCTTCCCTTTTCAGAAAGACCAAGTCTAACAAAAACGGTCATATTCCCAAAGCAGAAGATTTAGAATTGCAAGTTCCGCTGACCACAGACAAAGTATGACCGGCGCTTGAGGATCTACAAACACCACCACCAACAGAATGTGTTACTTGCAACGAACCCGAAACACATTCACAATCCTGGAACATTGAATAGGAGACCGAAAAAACCCACCCCGGTAGATGCTGCTGTTAGAAATAACATTATTGGCTACACCAAGCGGACCACAGTCCACATAGTACGCTGAAGTCACGGACCACAGTCCACATAGTACGCTGAAGTCACCATAGTTTGTCATTGTCACGCAGCCGGAGACCGGAAGCCAGACGGAGTTGGAAAGATGATCAAGAAACTTTTTTTGTTAATTGGAAAATGACATGTTGACAAGGATTTTTTCACCATAATACGAAACAAGGATTAGACTTAGAGTAGAATTAACGCTTAGTGCAGATAAAACTACATAAGAGAAAAGAGATAGAGGTGAGAGAGAAAAGAGAGAGAGAGAGAGAAAGAGAAATGAGAGAGACGGGCAAGAGAAGAGAGCGAGAGGAAGAGTGAGAGAAAGAGAGGAAAAGGCCAGATAGATCGATAGAAAAAGAGAGAGATACAGCGAGAGATAGAGGAAGAGGGCAAGAGAGAGTAAGGGAACAAGAGAGAGAAAGAGAAGCGAGAGAGGGGAAGAGAGGCGAGCGAGAGAATAAGAGTGAGGCGAGAGACAAAGAAAGGGACAGAAATAGAGCTAGAGGGGAAAGAAAAATAGAGCGAGAGGGAGAGAGAGAGAAAGAGGTAAGAGATAGGGAAGGAGAAAGAGAGGTGAGAGAGATGGGGATGGAGAAAGAGAGGTGAGAGAGATAGGGACGGAGAAAGAGAGCGGTAATGGAAAGACCGAAAAAGAGACTGAAAGACAGTGTGTGTGTGAGAGAGAAAGAGTGTGAGAGACGTAGGGAGAGAGAAAGAGAGGTGTGTGTGAGAGACAGGGAGAGAGAAAGAGAGGTGTGTGTGAGAGACAGGGAGAGAGAAAGAGAGGTGTGTGTGAGAGACAGGGAGAGAGAAAGAGAGGTGTGTGTCAGAGACGTAGGGAGAGAGAAAGAGAGGTGTGTGTGAGAGACAGGGAGAGAGAAAGAGCGGTGTGTGTGAAAGACAGGGAGAGAGAAAGAGAGGTGTGTGTGAGAGACAGGGAGAGAGAAAGAGAGGTGTGTGTGAGAGACAGGGAGAGAGAAAGAGAGGTGTGTTTCAGAGACGTAGGGAGAGAGAAAGAGAGGTATGTGTGAGAGACAGGGAGAGAGAAAGAGAGGTGTGTGTGACAAAGAGTGTGATGAGTTGACATATTTCGTCATTGAGTAAGGCGGGCTATCACTCCGTGTCTTTGATGTGCACACCTTTGTCTGTACGTTCATGTACTAATGTACATACACACTATTCCAACCTTTTGTTTTTGTTAGCGCAACTAACAACAATTATATATGCACCATAACCCGTTACATATTGATAACATAACAGGGATTAAGTTACATGACTGTTTCTCTAGCAATCAACAGGTATTGATTTGTATAGAAAAACTTGTCCTTGTGAACTCAACTTATAACTATATATATATATCTATCATTGTAAAATATGTTTATTTACAGCTACACGGTTTGCAATAGTATGTTACACAAATTATTTTGTAAGAAAATAAATTATCTATTTTAAAATTATAATTGAATGGAATAAAAATTAAACTTGAAAAATCACGTGATACCTGCTGGAGCGTTGTGTTAAAATAATTTGGCCACTGAAGGTCATTTATTATTATTATTATTATTATCTATATATATAATTCGCCAGCAAAGGTCAAACACCACCACCACGCAGGCTATATATAGATACGCCAGAGGGTGGTTTAATAATGTGCTCACTAGCACGCAAAATACAATTCCCGATAACTACGCTAAATGATATATACTTTTTTGATAACGCATTTGGGTTTGTTGCATAATATTTTCTTTTCTGAAAATGAAATCGTCTCAATTTAAGAATGGTGTAAAAAGATTCGGTTTAAAAGTGGTTGGGACATCAGAATATTTAATATAGTTCATGGGCGCGAAAAAAAAAAAGTGACGTCACTGCATTAGTAGCAAAAAAAAAAAAACCCCCCCCCCCATGGGGGATGTGATGCAGCAAAGATTGGGTGACTCTTAAATGGGCGTTACTTGAGTTCATGTTTTGTCAAGTAGCTTTGGTAGGTGGGAAGTTCACGCATTGCTGTCACCAATGTTTGACGGGCTATATCTAGTTGTTATTATTTTTTTTAACAAATGACGGGAGAGAAGAACAACCTGTTACGGTAACTTTTTTTGGGTCGAATTGTCTCCCCTGAAATCCCCATTTCACTGACAAAGCTGTAGCAGCACACCGAAAAGATGTACAGAAACAATGATGTTATTATGGTGGTCAGACAATAGTACAACGCCATCAAGCCATAGCTCATTGGTAGTGTAGTCAGACAGTAAACCAACGCAATCAAGCAATAACTCATTGGTTGAGTAACAAGACTAAGTTGCGATTTAACAAACAGAACTATTTGTTTGAGTAACTAGTTAAAGTTGCGATGTAACTAGCAAAGCTTGTTGTTTGAGTAACTAGTTTAAGATGCTATTTAACTAACAAAACTAGATGTTTGAGTAACTAGTCTAAGGTGCGATTTAATTAAATAAACACAACAAAGTAACAGTAGAGAGTAGAGATTGTGATTTTCTGATTTCGCCCGAAACCGTTAACAAGCAAAAATTTTAAAAAAAAAGACTTTCGGCCGAAACCGAAGCCGAACCCAAAAACTTAACGACACTTTCGGCTGAAACCGAAATATTTAGACATTTTGAAATTCATTCATGCATACATCGGTAAATGATGGGGGGAAAGTATCAATATTTACAATCTTTTTATTAAAATATGAGATCATCGTGAATATTAATAAATAAACATCAAATGAATACTTAAGCTTTTACAATTTTACTTAAAAAGTGATTTAACTTTATTAAAAATATATTTTAAAGTAGTATGGTGAGAGAAAGTTTTGACCGGTTTGGGGGGGGGGGCGCACAGACATACAAAATAGACTCTTGTATGCCCGTAGCTTTTTTTAAGAGACATATTTATACAATAATTATCCTGACAGTCTCTAATAGAGACAACTGTCACCTAAGTAATTATTATTAAGGCTGTAAAAATATCACCACATTATTTCGCTGTTACCGTCCTACCGATGCTTTGTGTTTTCATAAACAGCTGGCAAGATATCGCTGTTGTAATATTTAGCCTAGTAACAACACAACACACTAGACTTCCCGTGCTGGCGAGATAATTATTTTGATTGGGTGACCAATTCTCCCCCCCCCCCACCTCCATTGGTGGGGGAATAATTTTTTTTTTTTAAACTGGGTCTCTTAAAATCGTAGTTCTGCTGAGCCACGGTGGAGAATCTTATCAAAAGACATCTAAATTGGTCATCAAAATCATCTGCAGTAAACCTACTACATAATTATAATACAAGCCAGTGATACATGCACACGTGTCTTAATTCGTCAATAACAATGTTTATGAGCAGGATAATGGTGAGTTTCAAGTTTATGAGCAGGATAATGGTGAGTTTCAAGTTTATGAGCAGGATAATGGTGAGTTTCAAGTTTATGAGCAGGATAATGGTGAGTTTCAAGTTTATGAGCAGGATAATGGTGAGTTTCAAGTTTATGAGCAGGATAATGGTGAGTTTCAAGTTTATGAGCAGGATAATGGTGAGTTTCAAGTTTATGAGCAGGATAATGGTGAGTTTCAAGTTTATGAGCAGGATAATGGTGAGTTTCAAGTTTATGAGCAGGATAATGGTGAGTTTCAAGTTTATGAGCAGGATAATGGTGAGTTTCAAGTTTATGAGCAGGATAATGGTGAGTTTCAAGTTTATGAGCAGGATAATGGTGAGTTTCAAGTTTATGAGCAGGATAATGGTGAGTTTTAAGTTTATGAGCAGGATAATGGTGAGTTTCAAGAAACAATCAATTTATAGAAGCCTAAGTTGCCCTAATTTTTATTTAAAAAAAAAATAAAACAAAAATAATAATGGAAATATTACCCTTCCCTAGGATTTTTCAAATATAATTCACCTTTGCCTATGACAACATTGATGAGCATGATAATCATTAATCAAAATTAATATATCAAAAATGACTGAATTGAATAAACCTTTGGTTGCCGAGTTTTATTTGTGAAAAAATTAAAACAAAAATAATAAAACAAATATCTCCATTTCCGTGGTATTTTCCACAAAATGTTTTGCATTGTTTAACGGATGTTTAATTTTTTTTGAAGTAAAGGAAAGGTAGGTCATTATGCAGCTGTGATCTGCTCTCGAAGAGGATAAGTCATATAACATACGATGACAGCAAGACGTCGAGCAATAATGAATATCGGATTGCCGGCATAGAGAAAGAAAGCCTGACTTCTGGTAGATGACCGAAAACCTCAATCACTTTCGGTCAGTTGGCGAAAAGTCTCAATTACTTTCGAACGAAACCGAAAATAAACCGAAAGTTAACTTTTTTGGTTTCGGCCGAAACCGAAACTACACCGGAAGTGATCGAATGGCAACTTTCGGTGCCGAAACCGAAACCGAGCCTAAATTCGGTTGGTCTTTGACAGTTCCTTTATATTGTCTATGTGTCCCTCGCTTTAATCCTAAACTTGCACAAGACTCCGAGATATCTATAATAATTGTTAAAACTATAATACCACAGACCCACTTTATCATGATTGCAGTCTCTATAACATCACGATTCAGAGAAGGAGACTGTTCCTGCTACAGATGGCATTGAATCCTGGCACTGAGCATTTCAAGCTACAGATGACGTGCAATCCTTGTATTGGTCATTTCAAGCTACAGATAGCATGCAATACTGAAGAAACAGAACCACCAGAAAAATATGCTGTTATGTACTATACTCAAATTAGGTAGTGACCTATTGCGCTGTGACGACTTTCCCCAGTGACAAAGAAGTAGCGGACAGATTATCTAGAAACCTACCTGAGAAAAAAAAGAGATGAAAAAAATTACAAATGGCATAGAGATCAGTGAAAAGAAGTCCAATCAGGAAGAGTACTTGACAATAGACAGGACTGTCACAAATAACCACCATATTTTGGGCAAGGGTAATATAACTTTAAAAAAAAAATCAACTCAAACGACTTGTAACCACCAAATTGACTCAACAATTCACTGTATGGGAGTTCGATTGGCTCCTTCTGCCTCACGATTGTAACTGCGTGACGCCAGCGCAGGCATGAACCCCGTCCTCCGTTGAGCGCGCCAACGCGGGTCTGCTGCGGGAGGCGTCCCCAGAGTGAGCGATTCGGTTCGATACTGGCGTCCACTGAACGTGTGTATGTGTGTGTGTGAGAAGGAGGGGGGGACGAGAGGAACAACATCTCCCTCGGCTAAAACAAAGGACACACGAGCAGCACGCGATTCCCTTCACGAGCACGAGAGACACATTCAAACAATGAACTGCGGAGGAACACATCTCTCAGGCCAAAACTAAGCGAGCTACGTACTCCAGTGATTCTCTTGTGCTTTAGATCTACCCGCGTGTTTTTAGAAGGGGAATGGTTTTAATGATAAGTGATAAGTGATACGCATTGATAGCCAGAGACGCCTAGCTCGGGGGGCTTTGCTTTCTCTTTCATTTTTCTTGATTGGATAATTTCAACAACCCATGATG